GGTACACATCTTATCTCCTCTATCAGACTATAAGCAATTTGAAGACAGAATTCATGCATAATTTGTCTTTGAATTTCCAGCAGCATTTAGCATAATATCTTGAGATTCAACAAATACTTGATTATTAGAGATCAATAAATACTTGCTGAATGAACAAGCCAAATACACCAATATACAAATAATGAACTACCTTGGCTCTCAAACCTCTTCCTCTCAGCATCATAATACAGAAGAAAGCATCATTCTGAGTGACTGTTGTCTGTGCGCCCAAACAAATAAACAATAAAATACTGAATGTTCTTAAACAGTGGTTGTGTAAAATATGGTCACACATCTTTGAAATGTGAAACAGCAAAACAGCTGAACCAGTGCCTGAAACAGCAGTACCTGACCCAATATGCTCACACAGATGAGACCAGCAAATAAGGTTAACAGATTTTCATGAAATGTAATTATCAAATATTTATTGAGAGGCTACTTACAGGCCAGGTATTGTGCTAGGCACTGGGGTACAGTGGTGAGCAAGAAAGGATCTTGCTCTCAGGGAGCTTTTAGTCTATAGGGAAGACAAACAATAACAAGAAAGTGTCCCAAGTGCAAAGATAGGAGAAATACCTAGAAGAGGCAGCTAAGCTAGATTTGGGAGAAGGCAAGGGTGTGAAGGGGAGGCTTAAAGAGGACTTCTTAGAGGAAGCAGTAAATTGAGACCTGAGGAAAGAGAAAAAGCTAGAGAAGCAAAATCTAGGCAGGAAAATCTAAGCAGAAAGTATGGTGGATAACTTTACCTTTATTTTAAAAGATTATTCTAGAAAGCTGATTATATCATTTACAGAAATTTTTATCTTCCTTTGACAGATAATTCATAATGCCCAACATTCTTCCTCTAACTGCCAACCCCTGGATCCAGTCTCCCAATATTACAGACTGTTAACTGGTCGTTAACAGGCCTTATATTGTCACAAAACTGCGTCAGGGCATAAAGTAATAAGAGATCAATTTGCTTTTCTACTATTTTCTGCTGGAACTGTTAAACACATAGGAATTCAATGGACCATGCTTACATAATAAAAAATAAATTTTTTCAGTGTGTGTGGGGGGTGCTAATTTATAATTCTAATGATTGCCTACGGCATCTAGTAGGATCTTTCACCAAATAAGAATTCAGTGACTCTACGCCAATAAGTAGAACACTCAAAAAACCTACCAGGAAAAAAAATCCCCCTGATTCTTTAAGTAACAATTAATCTATAGCTATAATAAAAACAAACTGTGGCCTAGACAAAATTTTAAAACTTTAACTTTACAATTTGGTTATGTCTAATTCTCCCTACATAACAAAATACAAAAAAAAGAATTAAAGGTGGAAAGTTACATGAAAATAAGTATACAGGTTATAAAGAAAAAGGCTGAGGCATTGGCGAGGTCTATTTAATTACCAAGAAGTAAATTTATTTCATGTCAGTGACAGTCAATATTATTTTTATTTATCCTCATTTTGCTTTAATTAAAAGGTGTCATGGCACCCATAAAGAGGTGTTTTTTATCTTACAGATGCCATTATGCCTTAGAGAGATTTGTCTTGTTGTACATCTGGGAGTCAGCTTGTACTTATCTAAACTTCACATACAATTAAATGTTCTCAGTAGGTACAGCTTTAGTTACAGCTGAATAGAGTTCCAGGAAACACCATTAGGAGTTTCACTATTTACTCTACACCAACAATGGCAGCTGGTGCATTTCTGGTCACAGTGAGCACTTCTTCCACTGCGCATGACCAACTGACTTGTGCCCTTTGTTTGATTTCTCACATTACAAGTCAAATTTTAATTTAATTTTTTGACATCTTATCATGGACTTAAGAATACTACTTTATAGTTAAACTTGTATTTTTAAAGTAAGAAGGCTATACAAAAATCTCAAAAATATTTTCACGTACACCGTCCCAGCCGTCTAGTTCACTACATTAAGCGTCGCCTTCTTTAATCTTATACTGCTGAAAACTGAGCATTTCCCTCCGACCCTGCAATCTTCAGCTACAACCTAATAAAAATGGGTAGTTGCCAATGACCTACACAAGTACAATTAATTCAAGATTCCAACTTCTATTTCCAGGATTAGAATATTTACAATACCTGCTGCTTCAGACACTCGAACTTTCTAGTTTCACAGTTGCATCAAAGTTGTGACCTGCCTTGGCTAGAAAGTTCCAATTTCATATTTTCAATTTCTGATTAAATAAAAAACAAACAAACCAGTTTTTCACTTAAGTGAACAAAATCAATGATATCGCACCGAGTTTCTGCTAGGCAGAGCACAGCTGCGGGGTTGCTACGGCAACTGTTGTACACTGACCATAGATTGCCCCTCTCCAGGAAGGAAATGGTTTGCTCCACCCCCTGAGGAATCAAAGGCTCTGGCAAGCAGCAGTCTGTGAGCAGACACATTTTTAGTTCAGTAGCTGTGATGGAGCAACAGGAGACCAATCTTTATTTTCTCTCATTAAGAAATGTCACCCCAACAACCAAAACAGACTCCAAACCAAGTTGCTGTGTGTGATTATGTGTTTCTGCACCACAGTAGTACTGTATTTTTTACCTCCTCCCATTAGAAATTTAAGTTAGGGAACAAGCCAAACCAATTTTCTCCCAGGCACATAGAAAAAGAAAAAAGAAAGAACAAAAACACCAAATAAATTAGAATATTCCCACTTTTATCAAGAATATGTTTCAGCTCTTGCTTTCAGGCTTTAACCTATGTAAACTTAGGTTCTTTGACAATTTTTTTTTTGGCCACTCAGATTTACAATTTATTGAATTTTTACTCAGTACCAACCCTTCTGCTGGGTGCTCGGACATTTTATTTCATTTACTCCTCACAACAACCCTGTGAGGTAGGTAGTAATATAATCCCTACTTTACAAATGAGAAACAGAGGCTCCAAAACGTTATTTGATTGTCCCAGCTACTTAATGGCGGAGTCACAATTTGAACCTAAATCTCCTAATTCTGAAATCTTATGTTTTTTATACCACACTACACTGGTTTTGCAAGAAAATTCTCAATTCTTAATTGAAATATTCAAGCATTCCTAAAATGACTTTAAAATTTTTGGGCCGGCCCCGTGGCTTAGCGGTTAAGTGCGCGCGCTCCACTACTGGCGGCCCAGGTTCAGATCCGGGGTGCACACCGACGCACCGCTTCTCCAGCCATGCTGAGGCCGTGTCCCACATACAGCAACTAGAAGGATGTGCAACTAGGACACACAACTATCTACTGGGGCTTTGGGGAAAAAAAGGAGGAGGATTGGCAATAGATGTTAGCTCAGAGCCGGTCTTCCTCAGCAAAAAGAGGAGGATTACCATGGATGTTAGCTCAGGGTTGATCTTCCTCACCAAAAAAAAAAAAAAAAAATTTATGGTAATTTGTTTTAGCAATACATTTTCACACGTAACGACTTCATTATTGATAAACTAAATATATTCAGCAACCTTCCTAAGTGCACAGAAAACAAAGGCACAGAAAGACAGGGCTGTATTATGGTCCTGGTGAGCTTTTTGCTAAGTATAAACAATAGCACTCACATTCTTGAGAAGGAAAGGCAATGCAGAAAAACAGGTAAGGTGACAAAACTGAGTTTAGATGAAGCCCTCTGTGGAACATCTCTGGGGTTGAAGGAGCTGACAGAGGGAGAGGGAGTGAAAATGGATGAAGGACACACGTACTATTTAAACCAGAGGGAGAGAAATTTTTATCTCTGCCATTAGTTACTTTCAAGGACAATTCCAAGTATCAATCTGCCCATTTTCAGTCATCTCTCCACTTCAGGTATAAAAAGGTCTTCTAACTTAGCACCTCTTCTCTCAATGAGAAGGAATTGCAGTTCTCCTCTCCCCCAGAAGGTCCACAATTACCCCTACACATACTTTTTGGGAATTTACTAGAAGGACATAAAGACTATCTTTTAAAAAATTGCTTTTCCTAGTTCCCTAAGATCCTGACCTAAAAATTCTTTCACACTTACAGCTTGAACATTCCCCCAGTTGTAGATAAAGAGGTACCTCCAACTTTGCCCCTTTGGAATCACCATCTCTTAAACTGCTACCCTATCTTCTGAGTTCCTCCTTTCTATTATGCCTTTTCTGTCAGTCTTCTATTTCTACTTCAGTTGATGAGTCCAATTCTCTAGCTGCCCCAAAGGATTTCAGTCAGAAACCAAAAAAGTTCAGAAGAGTTGTACTAGTTTCCATAGGCTTCTGGAAAGATAGGTTGACAAGTATAAATTTATTATAAAGCATACATACACAAAGAAATCTCTTATGACATCTCTGATTTAAAAATATAAAAAATAATTTATCATATTTCTCTGAATTTTTGCTAGATGAGGCAATGAAATGTCCAACATCTTCCTATACTTTCCTATAAACAATAAGCCAGTTTTGTGGGTGCTGGAAAGTCACATTTTCAATTTATACAGATAAATATTATATATAATGCAAAGACTAAAAGTCATAAAATGTTATAGTTATGAAGGAATAAGGTAAGATATATTGCTGCTATTAAAAAAAACACTAGCTTTGTAAAAGAATGGGATTTCTGCAGTTGAGTTACTGTCATCTAAAAATTAAGTTACTGTGGGCTCCTATTTGTAACTGTCACATAGCAACTTGGGCTAAAGGCCTCTTCACCAAGCTTTTTCCCTTTCCAAAAAAGAAAAACATTTCACAGCACTAAAATAAGACGGGGAGGAAGCACCAGGAAAGTTAAAAATCCTTTCCATACTCTGTTCATTTTGCATTGGTTTTTAAGGTGACAAGCCTACTAAATGAAAAAGTGGAACAGTACTTGTATCTCAAATTTAATTCAATTTTAAATATCATCAATCCTGCATAATTTCTTAGATTTAACTTAAGCTATCTGCAAAGTGAACAAAGTTTCTAAAACATGGTGAGATTAGGTACTTCAGTCAATAAAAAAACAAAAAAGCAATCATTTATCATTTGGGACTCTTAAGAGATCATTAGGCATTAATTTAAAAATACTGTAACTTGACACTTTATAGAGGCTAGAAACATAATTCAAAATTTCATAAAGGTGTATTAAATTAAAACCACTTTAGACAATTCAAGATTTCATTGACAGAGTTCATTTAAAGTGACAGCTTTGTGATTGTGTTACTGTTCCCACATGATATCATCTCTTCTCAATTTCATTTGAAGATTATGGACTCGTATTGGATGAAAGTTGCTGTTCTTCTGAAGAGGGTTAGCTGGCAAACATTTTCTGGGGGTATTTTTCACATTCTTTGATCTGTTAGGGTTGCTATCTTCTTGCTGAATGCCCGAAGCTTCACTTGTCCTTGAGTTTTGAACTTTTTGCTGCAGTTTATGGACCTGGAGAGAAAAAAAAAAATCTAACATTTTAGTAAAAAATATATTTAAAATATACTCTATAGTAGATGGATTAGATTTCTGGTTTAAAGATTACACGAAAATAAAAAGTTTGCTAAGTTTTTATTTATTGAATACTTATTATATGCCTAACACTATGCTAGTCAGGTAGAAATATAATGAATAAAACAATCCTTGCTCTCAAGGAGCTCTTTGCTCTTATTAGTAAAAGAAAAGCATATATATGAAACTAGAGAATAATTCAAGCCAGGATAACTCTGAGGAGGACAAGAAGTGTATATTTGAGAAGGCCAAAGAAGGACAAGATCAATGTGGGCTGGAGAAGCTGAGAGGAAGGTTTATGGAGGATACGAAATGGGTAAAAACTGGGGAACAGAGAGGAGAGAGAAGGACTTTTCAGGTGATATTAACAGCAAAGCAAAGATCTGGTACCAGGAATGAGCAAAGAGTTTACAGAGTTGAATATATATATATTTTACTCAAAAGTATTCCTGATTTAACGTACTACTGAATAGGAGCTGGCCCGGTGGTGTAGCGGTTAAGTGCGCGCGTTCTGCTTTGGCGGCCCAGGGTTTGCAGGTTCGGATCCTGGGCGCGCACCAATACACCGATACACCACTTGACAAGCCATGCTATGGTGGCGTCCCATATAAAGTAGAGGAAGATGGGCACAGATGTTAGCCCAGGACCAATCTTCCCCAGCAAAAAAAGAGGACTGGCATCGGATGTTAGCTCAGGGCTGATCTTCCTCACTAACTAACTAACTAACTAAATAAATAAATAAATAAAGTACTACTGAATAGCAGTAAAAAAAAAAAAAAAAAGTCAAGGGAATAACCTTATCTCACTGAGGAGTATGTGGTAATGGTTTGGTAAACAGAATTAAACAAAACAAAACCGACCAACTAGTTGAAACCCATTTCTTCCAAGTCCAGTCCATTACTTAGTCTATTTCACTTATGCACAGACCTGATTTGTAGAGATGATTCAGACATTGGCTAAGTACCTGGTGTTCCATTTGTCTAAGGCTATTTTAATTGCAGATATTAAATTTATCATGATAAAATGCTTGAAAATTTACACTGCTACAGCTATTATGGAATATAAATAATATTTTTCAAAATATAATTTATGTACAGACTGCCTAAATTTAAAAAAAATGACTATTCCTCTATTCCCTTCAAGTTTCTCCTATGTGATTCTAAGAAATTATACAAGTTACATAATCTTTACCCTAACACAATCATACAAAAAAATGTACTTATTATAGGCTTAAAAGCCAGTAAAGTGAAAATATTTCCTTCAAAAGTTTCATTTCCTTTTTTCTATTGCCATAGAAGAATAAAGGCAATAAAATTCTGCATCCTTTATTACTTTCCTATAAAAGCAGGGGAGGCTTAATTGTGAGGTTAATATATCACCAACTTATATGAATGCTGATCATTCCATAGGCAGATAGCTATATGATGTGACTTGAGGGTTCCTGGAAAGACTCCCTCTGCCTTCTGCTCCAGCAGTGTAAGAGCGCTAATAATCCAACCTATGGAGTTATTGTCTTGGGATAAAATATTATAATATTGAATGATTCTTCTGTTAAAATATTAAAATTGTTATGCCATTCTTAGTTATTTAGAATTCACAGGCAAGGATAGAGTCTCCTCTCACCACCCTATACTATAGCTAGCTGAGTACAGGTCCCAAGGGAATGGAACACAGCACAGTTTGTTCTGTAAAGTGGAAATAGTGGTTTTATGATTGGGGTACTGCTTGAGGAGCCAGGTTTATGCATGGTACTGAATTAGAGACCTGTCAACATAAGGGACAACATTAAGACATTAGAGGAGGAAGGAATAAGAGGAAAGAATGCTAAAAGGGTAACTGGGAGGACTGCAAAGGCGAATTTAGTCCATCTCATAATTTTCCCAAAGCCAATTCTGAATACATAACTAAATTTTCTTACTCCCTTTTCTTACTATTACCTTGGAGAGTTATACAGAAGCCCATCTATTCCAGTGGGACACATGGCTCTATTCTGTAATAGGCCCAAGTGACTCTTATCACGTTTTCACTAAGCCACACATACAGACCTCAAATTTGGAAGGTCATACAGAGATATAACACTGAATCCAGATATATATTGTCTTTTTATTAAAATCTTTTACTAAAGCCTTCTTACATTGTCTTGATGCTTCTTCAGTTTGGAAATTTGTTCTCCTTTAATTTCCATTTTCTTGACTAAATGCTCTAGTTCACATTCTATGTTTTCAAAGACTGAATGGCTTTCAGTCTCCTTCATTTGATTCAGTAGTTCTTGGTGCTCCCTATAAAAGAAAAGCAAATATTAAGCACTAGTATAGTTTATGGTATATGTCTTTGCCATAATTAAACCATATTCTGTCCAATCATAAATTTTAGAGTTAAATATTAATCTTCAAAGACAATCTCTTTCTGTAGGGTTATCTAATTAAATGTATGGTAAATATAGACAGGCTCTTGTGATTTGAGATTAGATACATTTAGAAATATTTTAGCCTTATGGTCTTAAAGAATCTTTTAAAAAAATGTTTGAATTCTTGATGTTCATAAGTAAACGTAGTAAAATATTCTGATGTCTTTAGCTAGAGGCATTAAAGAAATCTTTTTACTCACAACTTTGGAATCCTTAATGTAGGATCTTTGGAAGAATTCCAGCTATAGAAGTATTTGCCTGAGAAATCCCTAGAATTGGTGATAGCCTACTCAAAGAAATACTGTCAATAGAACTAGTTATATCTTCTACAAAGGTCTTAGTTCAACTAGCTAGCCACCCAAATCACATATTTTCTAGAAATTTTGTTGAATATATATTTAAACTTCGGGCTTAAAATATGTATCCCATACAGAATCTTGTTTACGTCTTTACAAGCTTCAAAACTTGTAATGAAGACCAGCCAGAGTCTAAAACAAGAAATTGCAGTCCTACTTGTCTAATGAAATCATTTATTTAACTAAAAAGACTATAAAAAACAAAAGGAGAATCTTCCTTATAAAAACTTTTGTGAGAGTTTAAGGTCACCAGACATGGTTTGTTAGAATGACAGTAATATTTGTCCAACAGTTTAGATCGTCGGAATACAGAAACTCCTTAGATTGGAAAAGTAGTAATTACACACAGTTGAAAATTTAAATAGTATCAATAAATACAATGAAAAACAAGTGACAACAAATCTGCAGATCAAAATAAGTCCAAATGGCCAAGGCCTTTAAGAATTCATAAGTGGCATTTTTCTTAAGATTGAGGGAAAAAAAGATACCTAAATATCTTGCTACTTCTGATCAAGAATAAAAATACTTACATACTCATTTGGTCCAGCTCATCTTGCATTGCCATCAAGAGTTCAGACAAATTGTCACAAATACAAACGGACTTTCCTGAGTCAGGAGGTACAGCTTCACACCGTGAAGTTGTTCTAGTAGGCTTGTAGAGACATCTAGGCTCAGTAACTTCTGCACGTTTCTGAAGGACATGTGGGCCATAATGTTGCATCATCTGCAGGAGGTTTTGCCTGCTTGCATTCCTGGAATGGCTTGCACTGGCAGACTTTAGGGGAAAAGAAATAGTTGAGAACAATTTCAAATGACTGACGGCATTTAAACAGCACTTACAACAAAGCAAGAGTTTTTTTGAACAAGTATCTTCATTTCTGCCCCTCTCACCTTCTCAACTACAATAGGCAGTGATCCAAACTTTGAATAAATTTGCTGAGGTGGTCCTCTCTTTAAACATTTAGTTTTCTAAATATTGAGAAGGAAAAAAGTAAACAAAATAATTATTTTAAAAGACATTTATGATATGAAGAAGTCTCAAAACTCAAAAGTAAACAAACAATCTCATTAGAAAATAAGCAAGAAACATGGACAGAGATTTCACTGAAAACGACAGATGGTAAATAAACACATGAAAAGATATGTAACATCATTAGCCATTAAGAAAATGCAAGTTACAATGAAATATCACTACACACCTATCAGAATGGCTGAAAGGAAAAATAGTGACAAAACCAAATGCTGGCAAGGATGTGGAGAAACCAGATAGCTCATACATTGTTGATGGGAATACAAAATAATGCAGCTACTTTGGAAGAGAGTCCGGAATTTTCCTGTAAAACTAAACATGTACTTATCATATGACCCAGCAATTGCATTCTTGGACATTTATCCCTGAAAAATGAAAACTTACGTTCATGTGGGCCAGCCTGGTGGCGCAGTGATTAAGTTCGCATGCTCCACTTCAGCGGCCCAAGGTTCACGGGTTCAGATCCCAGGCACGGACCTGCACACTGCTTATCAAGCCATGCTGTGGCAGGCATCCCACATATAAAGTAGAGGAAGATGGGCACGGCCCTGTTAGCCCAGGGCCAATCTTCCTCAGCAAAAAGAGGAGGATTGGCAACAGATGTTAGCTCAGGGCTAATCTTCCTCACCAAAAAAGAAATGAAAACTTATGTTCAAAAACCTGTACACAAATGTTCATAACAGCTCTATTTGTGATGGTCCAAAACTGAAAACAACCCAGGGCTGGCCCAGTGGCCTAGTGGTTAAGTTCAGTATGTTCCACTTCGGCGGCCTGGGTTCGGTTCCTGGGCACAGACCTACACCACTCGTCAGCAGCCATGCTGAGGTGGTGACTCACATATAAAATAGAGGAAGTTGGCACAGATGTTAGCTCAAGGTGAATCCTCCTCCACCAAAAAAAAAGAGGAAGATTGGCAGCAGATGTTAGTTCAGGGTGAATCTTCCTCAAGCAAAAAAAGAAAACTGAAAACAACCCAAATCTCTTTCAATAGGTGAATGGCTAAACTGTGGTACAACTTTAACATGGAATACTACACAGAAAGGAAAAGAATGTATTGATACTTGGATGGATCTCAAGGGAATTGGCTGAGTGAAAAAAGCCAATTTTAAAAGGTTACATACTGCATGATTCCATTTATATAACATTTTTGAAATAAAATTATAGACAGTGAACAGATTATAAAGTGCTAAGGGTTATGGAGAGGGATGTATAGCTATAAAGGGAATACATGAAGGAGTCTTATAGTGGTGGAACAGTCCTGTATGTTGATTGTGGTGATGGTTACACAAATCTACACGTGTGATAAAACTATATAGAACTATATACACTCACATAAATATATATATACACACACAAATAACTAAATATAAAACTGGTGAAATTTGAATAAGCTCTGTGTGTCATGCCAATGTCAGTTTCCTGGGTTTTACACTATACTATATTTATGCAAGGTGTTAATATCGGAAACTGGTTGAAGATACATGGGACTTCCCTGTACACTTTTCTGTAATCTCCTGTGCATCTATAATTATTTTAAAATAAAAAGTAAAAAACAAAAAAAGATACTTATGGTAAGGATATGGAAATGGAACAATGGTATGTTGGTTGGAACATAAACGAGTCCAATCACTTTGGACACTATCTTGTAAAGTTAAGGATGAACGACTCTCATGGCCCAGCATCTCAGAGAAACTCCTGTACATGTAAACCAGACGCCACGTACAAGCATGTTCACAACAGTGTTGTTTATAGTAACAAAAAGCAAGAAACATCCCAACTGTTCATTGAAAGGAGAAAGGACAAATAAACTGTGGTATTTCCATACAATAAAGTATTTATAGCAATAAAAAGCAGTGATATGCACCAACTGGAGGAATCTCATAAACTTAATGTTGAATGGAAAAAGCAAGTTGCTGAAGAACACAAACACAATAAGTACATTTATATAAAGTTCAAAGTTATGAAAACCTAAACAATATATTTTTGGGGAATATCTATTTGGCAAAGTGATTTTTTTAAAAAAGCCAGAGAATGAAAAATTCAAAATCAGAACTGTGGTTACCCCTGGAGGGGTTGTTGGGAGGATACAACTTAAGAGGTGGATATGCTGGGCTTCAACAGCGCTGGCAATGTTCTATTCTTAAGCTGGTTGGTGAGTACTCGGGTGTTAATTTTATTATTATTCTTTGAGCAGACATTTTTTGTTATATATACTCTTTCATGAAACATTTTTTAAAAGGCATTGCTAAACTACATTCTTACACTCTTAAGAATAATTTAAATTCTTTCACTAACTAATTTTGTTGGAAGGATTGAACTAGGGTGACAAATTGTCTCAACTGGCCCACAACTGAGGGAGTTCCCAGGACACAGGATTTTCGGTGCTAAAACCAGGAAAGTCTCAGGCAAACCAGGGTGAGTTGATCATTCTAGTTAACACTTCAGCAAGGGAATAATCAAAAAAATGATGATATTCCATAATGAAAAGAAAACAAAATACTCCCAATTCTAAGTAGAAATTTAGATATCTTATTATAAATATTCAATTTTTTTTTTTTGAGAGTTAAAGAAATAAAATGAATTTGAGGTAGATAAATCACAAAAGTTTGTGAGTCAGTTCTTACTCACTCAGAGTTGCTTGGTGACCTTGGATAATCATTCAAGCTCTGTGCCTTAGTAACAGAAATTTAAGTAATGGAAAACAACGGTCTGGTCTAAGGCTATTTCAAGCAGTTATAATAAGAGTAAAAGAAATTTCAGTTAATTCTTCTAGTCACTATACTGACTGAGATCTCTGATTGATTAAAATCTAAACTTTTCAGAGAATACTGAAAACCTCATAGGAAAGGCTCCCATCATCTCACTTACAATATTCAAAGTCTGCTTCTTTACTTTCAAGCTCACCTTCTCATACTGCTGTCAGTTACCATCCAGAAGTACAGGTCTAATCACGTCCGTACTCTTCTCAAAAGCTTTCAGTGGTTCCCAGTTGTTTACAAAGTAAAAGTTTAAACTCTTAACATGGCATTGAAGGTCTGCCATAATCTCACCTCAAACTATATTTCCAATTTTAACTCTCCCTATGACACCATCTCACCCCCAATATTGGACAATTATCTATGGTTTGTGGAAAAACCAATTATACCCTCAGACTGTAATACAATTCTCCTCATCTCTATCTATCAAAACTTATTAATTCTCCAAAGTTTCCTTTAATGCTGCTTCTTGCATGACCCTTTGACATATTCTTTGTCTGTCAAAGAATATGTCACTACCACTTTGTTTACACCTCTATTAAGTTTTTATTACACTCTGTCTAATATTTGTATATTTCACTGCTTCTCTATAAATTCCTGTCTTATTTATCTCTTTACCATCGAGAAGTAGCAGTCTTTGTAGATCAAGATGCATGAGCTGAATGAACTATGTCCAGGATATGGAGAAATTGGCAGTGAGAAAAGCAAGACTCTCATAGAGGTCTCTTAAAATTTGATCCTACCTTTAGCAACGTCAGTGCTCCAGCCAGCTTTAAAAGGAAGCATTATTACTTGCAGATCCTATGAACTTGGGATTTAAACTAACTACTTTTATAAAGTGATTTTGCTGTTAATTACTCTTTTTTTTTCTCTTCCAGGAGCTACCTTTTCTTCCCTTCATTTCTTTTACATTACTTCTCCCTATGCCTTCTTTATTTTTACAATGAATAGGTAAATTAAAAAAAAATTTCCACTAACTCATCAGACAAAGGATGCCACAAAACATAAATATAAAAAAAGTTAATATTTTTTCCACTTGCAAATTACTTACAGTGATTTTCTATTTGGTTTTGCAGCTTCTAATCTCATTGCACAAACAAGACAAAAAACAAATATTTAAGGAAGGAAAGAAGCAAAAAATCAACATAAAGTTGCACTGGGAAAATGTTTTTCACTATTGTAGTTTGCAAATTCCTTGAAAGAAAATAATTATAAAAAATGCAGTCAGACTATTGAACAGTAATTCTTATTTATGCAACAAAAGAGTAGCCAAAGTTAAGTATAATGTTCTCTCCATTATTGTATCCACAAGGTGAGCCTATGGCAGTGGCCAGAATTCTCAAATAGTATCCCTGGCTCCCACAACAAATGGCACACAGAAATACTCACTACATGCATATTGAATAAATAGTAATAATGGTCATCAAAACTATAATTTCAAAATCATAAGATTAAAAGGGATTAAAATTTTCTTTCTTACCATTATAGATAATTAAGAAGGTTTAATACAATATATCCAAAACAACAACTCATCTAAACAAAATATTATTGGTCAGTCTATAAAGCACTAACTCCCCAATTCTTATTCTTAGGCAAATCCAAAGGGAACGAGCATAAATAACAAATAATAAAAAATTTTCTAGAGAAATAACTTCACAGATCTATAATTTAATACCATATTCTTGTCTTTTTGTTGTGTACATAACATATAAAACTGCTTCTAGGATCTATTGTGTTGTTAACATCTATTGTGTTGTTTTGTGACTCTTTTATAAAATATCACAAAATACATTTCTCTAAGAGTTTAGTACTAGGAAAATGTTTGTCTTTCTAGAAAAACTGGAATGCTTATAGTTATTTCACAAAGACAGATATACTGCCCACTATATACTCCTTTTTGCTTTGATTGTCAAGTAAACTCAGAGCTAGGTTTTGTGCTCAACTGCTGTTGCGGTTTCATGGAATTTTCTGTCCTCACACCCAAAACCATCATCACTTGATTCATGTTTTTAATCCCCACTTCATAGCATTATTGCATGTCTTTTATTATAAATCTTTTCAAATTCTTTTTGGAAATGGATAGGTGTAAATATTAAAAGGGTAAATAAATAAGTATTAGCGAATAAGAATAAAGTGTTTGCATACCTTTGAAGATTTCTTTTTTTCTTTGGAGCATTTTGGATTCGATACTGAAGACATTAAAATTCTATTGATTTCAAGTCCAGTTTGAAGCTATAATATTAAATAAAAAACTTTATAAAATTGATTTTTAAGTTTATCAAAAACATTATAATGAGAAATCTGGTTTCAGCTTACAAAGATAAAAATGCTTTTTGAGGAAGAAAAGAAAACCCAAAATACTATTTTTTTGTGCATGAAAGTCACTAAGTCTATTGGTAATTATAATCATTTTCTGTTTATAAGAGAATGAATTATTTAATACATATATCAATCAAATTGAAAACAATCTATACCAGGAGTTCTTTCAAGTGAGAATATACATGTATATTTGTCAGAATTTCAAAAGACCAAAAGACTTCTTGGCAGTGCATCCATGGTATATGAATATACTAGCTGACTTATTGAAAATGTCATTATTATAGCAAAAAGAGACAAAACTAACAATGTAGGAAGCAGAAATTAGAGTCTAGAATATAGGCCTCATTAATGAAAATAAAGTATAATAAAACATATGTAGCTTATCGTGATAAATGATATAATGCTCTATTTACCTCAGAAGCTTTGTCTTGAAATAGCTTACGCTGATGTTCTTCTTCCTTAAGTTTTTCCTCTAAATATTTAATCTTGTCCTGCAAAAGAATTAAAAAAAAAATGGGATTATTACATAAAAACTAGAGCCAAATATCTTTTATTCCTTTTCCAAATAGAGTCCTTGTGGTCTTGATTCTTAATAGTTTGGCAAATTAAGGCAGAGAGTAAGAAAAAGGAATGGCAGAAGATGCTGAGATTTTTCTGAGCTTTCTTCTTATACTCTTTACCTGCTATCATATATAAGAAGAACAAAGGGAAAGCAAAGAATGTACACATATAGGCTTTATTAACTTCTAGCAACAAAACCATCATGATGAAACTTTTGGGAGTATTAAAGGTCTAGAAGGTCAACCAATTATAGTCTTGGGTCTCAATGTTTCTTTCAAAACACAGACAAATCACAATAAATGTCTATCATGTGCATATGATAAGGGCGCAGTTGTTGGAGGAGGGAGGGAATAGAAAGACATATTAGAAATATAAGATATGGTCCTTGTTACTTAAGAGCTTGTACTGTACTTAGGGAAACAAGAGTAAGATACATCAAAGAGTAAAGCACAAAGGAATGAATATGATTTGACCCAGACCATGTATACACTATATAACCTTATACACATAAGTATTTCATCTTACATCCATGGTGTGGTTCAGAATAAGAGGACAGTACTATTTCAAAGGGAGGCCTTCCTAGTGTTGGAGAACTCAAGGAAGGCTTCACAGAGGAAGTAGGACTTGGAGAAAGTCCTATAAAATGGACAGGATTTGGGTGGGAAAAGGAAAGGGTATTTCAGGATGGGATTGAGGATAGGGTTAACTGCAAGTGGCGAAAGACAATCTTTTCAATATCCTTTAGGTAAATTATCTGACAGGTGAAAACGGTCTGCCACCTCAGAAGCCAAAATTACAATTTCACATCAAAAGGCAAGTTCATTCGTCCTGTGACAGAGTACATTAACTTTTCACCTCTATAGCAGGAATTCATAACTGGATTACTAAAAGTTGTAAATGAAGTTTTATAAATCTAAGATTTACTGTATATTCACGTACAGTGCCAATTATGCTTAACACTAAAGATCTATTCCTGGCATCACCACTTGAAAGAAATGAGGGGAAGCTTACCTCGGCAGTTTTCTGAGTTGTTGTAAGTTTAAAACATTCTTTTTCTAAGACATCCAGCTTTTCAAGTTTTGCTTGCAGCTTCATATGATCCTGTTCTTTTTCCCTTTGAAGCTGGGCCTGGAACGGATAAAAACAAAACTAGAATTTGGCAAGTGATGCCAATGGCTCAAGAATAATACAATTTCTGAGAATCCAAAGCACAATATAAACCTGTCATAAGAAACACATACATACATGTACACACTTTAGTGCTTACAAGCAAAAACAAGAAAATCAAATACTTTTAAAGAACAAATATAATGTGCAAAAAAAGGGGTGCTATATTAGCATCAATGGAACAAACTCTTCTATGTATCTTTATATAACATTTTTACTAAGGAAAACATCACCAACGAAACCTGTATTAAATAAAGTGTTATTCACAGGGTGACCAAACCTACTCATTGACTTACCTTCTCTCTAACTATAACATAGAAAAGCAGCCGTCAAAGGAATAAAGCATACAGAGAACACGAAGAAAAGGAAAGTTATACAGATTTTATTTATTTATTTATTTTCCCCCCAAAGCCCCAGTAGATAGTTGTATGTCATAGCTGCACATCCTTCTAGTTGCTGTATGTGGGACGCGGCCTCAGCATGGCCGGAGAAGCGGTGCATCGGTGCGCGCCGGGGATCTGAACCCGGGGGGCCAGCAGCGGAGCGCGCGCACCTAACTGCTAAGCCACGGGGCCGGCCCGAGGAAAGTTATACATACATACATATACCCACACATACATATATACATATATATGTATATATTTGTAATGGTATTTAATACCACACTAATGCAAGATGTTAATAACAGGGGCAACTGTGAGGGGGCAAGGGGTATAAGAGAACTCTCTGCTCAATTTTCTATAAACTTAAAACTTCTCTAAAAAATAAAGTTTATTAAAAAACAAAAGACAGAGAATAGATTGGTGGTTACCAGAGGGGAACAGGGAGGAGAGAGGGTGAAAGGGGTAAAAGGGCACATGTGTACAGTGATGGATAGCAATTAGACTTGGGGTGAACATGATGCAGTCTACACAGAAATCAAAATATAATAATGTACACCTGAAATTTATATAGTGTTATAAACCAATGTTACCTCAACAACAACAATAACAAAGAATAAAACAAAAACAAAAAACAGATACAATCAATAAACAGAGTTTTCATGACCTGTGGTCTAACATTCAATTGGAATCACAGAAGGAGAGGAGAGGGAGTTGGGACAAGAATAATTATCTGAAGGATAACAGCAAAAAATGTTCCAAATTTTAATGAAAAATATTAACTGATGGATTCAAGAAGCTAAAAAAAAAAAAAAAAAAGGCACCAAAAAACCCAAGAAGAATAAATACAAAGTAAACCACATTTGGGCAAATCATTATCAAATCATTGAAAACCATGATAAAGGGAAAGTCTTAAAAGCAGCCTGAGAAATGATGACACATTATGCACAGAAGAACGAAGATAACAATTTTCATTAAAAACTATTAAAGCCAGAAGACAATTGAGAAAACATCTTTAATGTACTGAAAGCAAAAAACCTGCCAACTAGAATTCTACATCCAGTAAAAATATCTTTCACCAATGATGGTGAAATAAAGATTTTTTCCAGACAAATATACGCTAAGAGAACTTCCAGCATACTTGTAAAGGAAGTACTTCAGACTAAAGGAAATGATACCAGATGGAAAATTAAATCTGCACAAATAAATAAAAAGCATTAGAAATGGTAAAAATGTAGACAAATATATATTTTTTCTTGTTTCTTAATTTTCTTTATAGGATAACTGACATTTAAAGCAGAAATAATAACAATGTATTACAGGTTTTATAACATATGCAGAAATAAAATGTATGAAAACTGTACCACAAAGGGGGATAAGTGGAAGCATAGTGTAGTGAGGATCTTCCATTATATGTGAAGTGTTTTAATACTAATTCATGGCAGACTGTGGTAAGTTAAGAATACATATCTTAACCTGTAAAGCACCTACTAAAAAGAAGAAGGAGGAGGAAGGGGACAAGGAGGAAGACCAGTCAATAGACTTTAAAAAGAAATCACTAGAGAAGTTAAAAAATATTTTTAACTGAATGATAATAAAAAACCAAAATATCAAAATTTGTAGCATGCAGGTAAAGTAGTGTTTAGAGGAAAAGTGATAGCTTTAGTCACAAAATCTAACATTTAAAAAGAAAGAATAGAGAGAGAAGTCAAGATGGCGGCATAGGCAGACTCTGAACTCACCTCCTCCCACAGACACAGCCAATTTACAATTACTCACAGAAAAATTACCCCTGAGAGAGAACTCAAAACTGGATAAGAGGAGCTCCTGCAACAAATGACAATACAAATTGAGGTGGAAGAATAAGAAATTCCCTTCTGGAGAGGAAAAAACGCCACTTTTGCAAGCCGCAGCACTTCACGGCTGCCTGGAAGCAGCCCAAAGGTACGCAGCCTTCCCTGGAGGAGTGGGGACCTGAGCTGGGGAGCACCCCAACTGTAGGCATTTTTTGGACCCAGCATGATCGAGACTAGTGGCATAATATCTGACTCTGGTCGCTACTAAAACATTGGGGAGTACCCCCAGAAAAGCTGGTTCACAAAGAAATTAAAACCAGCTCTTAAAGGGCACACACACAAATTGACCTGTTTCAGAAAGCAACCTAAAATCACCAGAAAGAAAGGTGCACAGTGCTTTGGTGAAAAGAGACTCACCTGATAGGCTCTGAGTGCATCTCGGTGAGAGGTGAGACTTCTCCAGGGACTGGGACATTGGCGGCGGCCATTGTTGTGGCCTGGTGTGGGCGTGCTGACACAGACACTGGCAGACGCCACTGGAGTTCTCCCTGAAGCCTGCTAGCCCAGAGTCTGCCTCACCCACTAGAGCACCAATTTAATCCAGCTCAGTCAGGGCAGGCAGCCCACACTAAGGGACTGGCCCCACCCAACAACAAGCCCTCAGGCAACTTGTGGACCTGTTAAGTGAGCTGCCTGGATTCTCCGCAGATTGGCGAGTGGGTCCAAGGAGCAGGTGGAGAGTGTGGGGCGGTGGTGGAGCCTGTGGGGCTTCCGCCTTGGAGAGATGGGGTCCATTTCAGGAGGTCAGGGCGCGCACATGGGGCAGGACTATGTTGACTGTGTGTGTGGATCTGTGGGTGGCGGGGCTTGTCAGCTGCAGAAGACTTGTGCTTCTCAAAGACCCACACAGGGGGTTTGCCTCACCTTCCAAAGCCTGAAACAATTGGGTGCTCCTGTGCCTGAGGCGAGCCCCACCCAGCTGCAATCCTCAGAGAGCTGACAAGAGACCTACAGGCTGGAAGCTTATAGCGATTGTAAGCCCCTGAGCCTAACAACCTGCCACGCTGGGGGCCTACTCACTTAAAAGAAATACTGCAACACAAATGTTCTATTAGAACTTGCAGCCAACTGTGCTGGAGCCCACCACACCCGATAAAGAGACTGAAGGGCCCACAACTACAAGCAGCTGAGCATTACAACAGCTGGCCAGGGGCATAGCTCAGCCTCCCTGGGCACCTACAGGAGAGCAACCACAACACAACAGAAGGACACACGTAGCCCACATATGGGTCACTCCTGGAACATTCAGAACTGACGTAAGCACACTGTCGGTCCTCATAAGGCATCACTTATATAAGGTCACCTCTCCAAGAGCAGGAGACGTAGCAGACCCACCTAATACACAGACACAAGCAGAGGGAAAGAGGCAAAATGAGGAGGCAAAGGAATACATTCCAAGTAAGG